TTAACAAAACGCATTTGACTAGCAGGTCGAACAACTGATGTACTTAAACCCTGCTGACTGTCATTGGCGATTGCCAAATAAACGGATCACAAGATGTAACAAAATAGATCTTATTATTAATTTATTACCAAACAGAAAACAATAAACTTGCGGAAAAGATGGTATACAACATGAGGTGCAAAAATTTGTACACCATATCTGGATTTTGACAATTAATGTCTCTTCAGTGATATATATATAAAGGCCTAATAGATTAACCAAACAATGTCATAGTAATTTCCACCCTCAAAATCCTGTAGACACACTATATATGTATCTGTAAGATATACCATCTACTTGCCACTATAGCACATGTAATGTGTTACAACCCATAAAGCTGACAAGGAAAGGCATGAGTCGACTTACATAAGCTATATTTTTATATAGCCTTATAGCTGTCCCAAGGTGCCTACAGCATTGGTACAAATTTATAAATAGAAAGTTGTCCTCTCCTTAAACCTTAAATTTATTCATAAACAATGTATATGTCCATTTCATTTAACAAAGTAATATGTTTTGTATGAATATCATACTGTCAAATGTTTTTCATTGCAAAGAATAATGGACTGGTAACAGATGTTTCTCATCATGATCACCTTATATCATTCAAACATTAGAAAAGTACAGAGTCGTTTTGTTTCTACTACATATATATTATTTGAAAGTACATGTAGGAAGCATCAAGAGGAAGCACATTTGTCAGGATTTAATTTTTATGTTTTAACATAATGGGCCTTTAATTACTTACATGCAACTAATCAATATTTGGAAAAAGCTTGAACTATCATGAATGATAGGCCTTCTCTAATTAAACTCTAATTAGCCTTTAAAACTATGGAATAGTTTATTCTTCATTTTGGAATATATGATCATTTCCATCGGTTCTATAACCACCAAATAAGAACAGTTTATTAATTCTTATTTTATTCATAAGCCTTATTTTGGACTAAACAAAAGACATGACTTAATCATTTGTGATTCTTCCATACCTTCATCAGTCATACTGTACACTCTAACTGTCTTGATGAACAGAAAACTAAAAATTGAATAATTTCTGTTTTATATAGACTTTTTTTTAGTTGATAAAAAAAACATTGAGTTTTTTTAAAGTAGATCTGGTTGTTTCTGTCTTAAAACATTTTATAATTTGGGGACAAAAATAAAATTATTTATTTACTTTAATTTGATTTTCTTATCAGTCCTTTGGTCACTAACTTGGCCAGAGCATCAATAAGATACAATCTAGATGCCGTTTTGGTTTTTGTGTCCTTTTGGTTGTTGTCTCATTAATGGATACCCATATCTCCTTTTATCCAAATGTTCAAAATAATCTTATACAAACATGAAGCCAATCTTTTTATCATAATGTACCAGTAATGCAAATCATAAACCAGTTATGTACAAAAAATGTACTACATTTTTGATACACAATTAAATATATGAGCTACTGCTCACTAATGATACCCCTGCCCGCCAAAAGTATAAGGTAAACAGGAAGTTGTTGAATGATGAATCATAAACACATCACACGGTATAGCCAACTCATATAAACCTTGAAACTAAATTTCAGAAATCCTTGTTATGTAGTTCCTGAGAAAAATGTGACGAAAAATATTCATGGGACGGACAGACTGACTGACTGACAGAGGTAAAACAGTATACCCCACTTTTTTAAAGCGGGGGTATAAAAATACAGTTCCCTTTAAAATGCATTATTTGTTTGCCTTTTTTTCATAGTTGAAAAAATAGATAACATATTGTGAGCATTGTTTATATTTTTGAGAGGAATCTCTCTTTCACAAATAACCCATGTTGATTCTCTTTTATAACACTTAAATAAAGTTGACTTTTTACATTAAATTTATCAAAACTAACTACCTCTCACTAAAAAAACTTTATAAGGGGTTCCATGGAACCCTGTGTCTTGCCTGTGATTGCTGCTGTCAGTGTAAAAGAGTAATGTTTACTTAAAAAGTGAGTCCATTTATCAGTAAAATACAAAATTTTAAATAGAGTTCAAACTTTTTCTTTAAATGCGTTTTCATGGTCTTGAAGATTAGCTTCTGTCCAAGTTTCATAATAATCTATGAAGGTTTCCAAATGTATCATGTCAAAAAAGTCTAATCCCAAACTGTCTGTAAAAGTTAACTGTAAAAAACTAAGTCTATCTATCAGAAAAATACTGAAAATGAAAAAAATCTATTTTCAAAAGTTTGCTTCAGACATTATCTAATAATCATAAAAAAGCTTCTGCAAAAGTTTCATAAAATTCTATGAAGGTTTGATAAAGTAATTGATGTGTAATAAACTTTAACCCCAGACTTTACCTATTTGTTAAATGTAAAAAAAAACGAAATCAAATATCAGTTAAATACAGAATAAATGGAGAATGATGCCTCGCTTGCATACAACATTATAAAGGGACATAACTCAAGAACAATAAAATAATGCTACCCAAATTTGTACTTGATCTTAGTTTTGTGGTAATAAGTATTGTGTATAGGTTCATGTTTGGTTGGGGCAAACTTAAGTTACAGAATGGAAACTAAAAATTTTGCAATTTTTCAATTTATAAAGGGGCATAACTCAATAATGGTTAAAGTGACACTACCCAAATTCAACTTGATCTGTGTTTTATCAGTGGAAGGCAAAATTTAACATTGCATTGTATAAAGCATTGATTGTAGCTGATTCAACTATAATCATGGACAAAGGAAGATAACTCCAATTTTAATAAAATGCTCCGCTGGGACGCAGCTTGATACGACCGCAGAGGTCGAACCCTGAACAGTTTGGGCAAGTATGGACACAACATTCAAGCTTGATACAGCACTGAATTTGGATTGTAATTAAATATTTGACACAGCATAGGTTTCTGACACAGAATGAAAGTGGTCTAAGAACTTAAAAATTTTGAATTTACCTTTTCAAACCATATCATTATTATTTGCTTCTATATATAAATCAGAAATAACCAATTTAAAATGGAAAATTTTAAAGAAAAAAAAGGAAAAAAAAAAAAAACCCAAATTTTTTGAACCCCCTTATGATTCATCACCCCCAAACTCGATCCTAGCCTTCCCTTTGTGGTATGGTACCTTGCAGTACAATTTCAGAGAGATCCATACACTTGAACACAAGTTATTGTCTGGAAACTAGAAAAATGCTTGTTTTTAGGCCCCTTTTTGGCCCCAAATTCCTAAATGTTTAGGGCAAAAGACAACTTTCGACTTCAATGCATTTCCGTCAAAAATTTTGGTTTTAGTGAACATCATTCGTGCGTTTAGGGGCAACGTCACTTCCGTTCCCATGTTGAGCGAGTGGTTGGAAAACTATGATGCTATATTGCACGAATTATTCGGCAAATTAAATTCTCATAATTGACAATCAGCACTGCTATCATAAGGGAATTGTGATTAAGTACCTACGGAACAAACATTATTTCTATTTTATCCTGCACAATGACGATCACTAAGACGCTTGATGACCGTTAATAGTGCAGGGATACAGGCGATCCCCTTTATCTGGTAAATGACGTCATAAAGGCGCGCATAATTGACGAGTTTTTTCCAGTGAAGGACAAACTCGAAAGTGGTCCATTACCCCCAAACTCAAACCCAGCTTTCCCTTTGTGATATGGAACCTTGTAGTACAATTTCATAAAGATCCATACACTTACACACAAGTTATTGTCCTGAAACTAGAAAAATGCTTGTTTTTTTGCCCCTAATTCCTAAAATTTTGAGGCAATTACCCCCAAAATCAATCCCAGCCTTCCCTTTGTGGTATGGTACCTTGCAGTACAATTTCAGAGAGATCCATCCATTTGAACACAAGTTGTTGTCTGGAAACTAGAAAAATGCTTATTTTTGGCCCCTTTTTCCTAAACATTTTAGGCAATTACCCCCAAACTCAATTCCAGCTTTCCCTTTGTGATATGGAACCTTGTAGTACAATTTCATAAAGATCCATACACTTACACACAAGTTATTGTTATGAAACTAGAAAAATGCTTGTTTTTTGCCCCTAATTCCTAACATTTTGAGGCAATTACCCCCAAAATCAATCCCAGCATTCCCTTTGTGATATGGAAACTTGTGGTACAATGTCAGAGAGATCCATAAACTAACACACAAGTTATGTCTGGAAGTTACAAAAATGCTTATTCTTGGCCCCTTTTTGGCCCCTAATTCCTTAACTGATTGTACCATAACCCATAAAATCAATCCCAACCTTCCTTTTGTGGTATTGAACCTTATGGTAAAATTTCATAGAGATCCATTCACTTAAACTAAAGTTAGAGTGCGAAAACCAAAGTGTCTTCAGAAGACGACAACGACGACGCCAATGTCATACCTATATACGACCGCAAAATTTTTTTGCGGTCATATAAAAAATCGCACCTGCTCTATCTCAAAAAGATTTTTACAGTGTAGTGTACTACTTTTGGGACAAATAATATCAAAATCATAGTAAATCCTACCAGCTCTAACTCAAAATATGGACAATTCTATGTTAAGGGGGTCTATAATTCAGTATGACAGCTTCAGACATACTCATTTTTTATCTTTTTTAACTGGACCAAATCACTACTTTACATAAAAATTTATCACCAAAATTTTTTTAACATGTAATTTTTATCCCCCTACTTAATATTTCATGCATAAAATATAAAGAAATAAATTTGGAAAGTGCATGAAAAAAATTTGCAAGTTATACACTCAGTCCACACTACGGACTTTATTTGTAGACAACAAAAATCAAAGGATGATAACTGTTTCCTCCCACCATGTACAAGAATTGCATTAAACAAGCTTTTATTTTTATTAAGTGGGGAAGATTCACAATTAAAAAGGCAAAACTTATTAAGATATGATGACCTATATTTGTTTGGTTTCAACAAATGAAGAAACCACGATTGACTTGTAAATGCAATCTGACATATTTTAGTTTAATTTCACCTGACTTCTTTTCACTGGGGATGAATATATAAACTCTGCCACTGCATCTAATGGTAAATCAATTTTTTGAAATGTTGTTCCATAATCACTTGATCTAAAATATAAATATAATTAATTGAATACTACATGTACTACACTATTGATCAAAGAAAAAGGGTTATAAACCCTGTTGTTTAATCATCAATTTGAATAACTTGACAGGTATTTCAAATAAAACAACAAAATATTTCAATTTCAGTTTTTCTCTTACTTTAAGTATTTATGAGAAATCAGAAAGGTTCATGTTTGCCATTTTTCTAATAGTATTTCATTATGCGTGTCAACTTTTGGTACATGGAAAGAATGAGTCACTCTATTTGTTTAAATGCGTTTAAAATTATAAATGTCAATAAAAATATATAAACATACTTTCTTTAATTGAAAGCATCAAAAAGGAGCCATTCCTCCCCCACTTTCAAAATACATGTAATATTATTGTACAAATATCACTTTCCATGTTGTATAAGATGTAAGATGTCTACACTAAATTCTTTCTACAACATATGAGTATGAAATAGTTGAAATAAAATTCAAATATTCAAATACTTATGAATAAAAGGAGATCTATTTTATCCATCCAAGAGACAACAAATGAACAACACAAATAACCAAAAGCCAACAACTAGAGGTCAAAATTCAGTTTTCAACAATAAACAGGTGTCTACATGTGTAAAATATGTTGCATGTAACTTGCCAAAAATCTTAAAAAGTTGTGAATAAATTTTAAACAGAGATTATCAATTCAAGGATCTGTTAACAACAACAAATTCTCTATATAACAGAACTATATGACAACCTGTCAGTGATGATTTTTTTGGGTTCCTGACAGGCACATATAAATAAATGAGGCAGGGTTAACATACATCTGTAGTCCTTTTTTTATACCTCTACTCTAAACCTTTATAACAAATAACCCCAACTAAAACAAAGTAATTACAAACAATACAATATAAAAAGAAGAAGATTTGGTATGATTGCCAATTAAACAATTATCTACCTTAGACCAAATTATGTAGATTAAAGCAACAATAGGTACAGTCTTCAACAGTGAGCAATTTTCTTACTGAATAGTAAGCTTTAAAAGGTTCTGACATGACAAAATGAATAAAATGCTCCGCTGGGCGCAGCTTGATACGACCGCAGAGGTCGAACCCTGAACAGTTGGGGCAAGTATGGACACAACATTCAAGCTTGATACAGCTCTGAATTTGGATTGTGATTAAATATTTGACACAGCATAGGTTTCTGACACAGAATGAATGTGGTCTAAGAACTTAAAAAAATTTAATTTACCTATTATGGTCCAATATCCAAAATCTAAATACATACACAGTTAGATTCAGCATATCAAAGAACCCCAAGAATTCAATTTTTTTTTTAAATCAAACTAAGTTTAATTTTGGACCCTTTGGACCTTAATGTAGACCAATTTGAAAACATGACCAAAAATTAAAAATCTTAATACAAGATTAGATTCAGCATATCAAAGAACCCCAATATTTCAATTTTTGATGAAATCAAACCATATCATTATTATTTGCTTTTATATATAAATCAAATTTAACCAACTTAAAATGGAAAATTTTAAAGAAAAAAAAAGGAAAAAAAAAATCACCCCCCTATTTTTGAACCCCCTTATGATTGATCACCCCCAGACTCAATCCAAGCCTTCCCTTTGTGGTATGGTACCTTGCAGTACAATTTCAGAGAGATCCATACACTTGAACACAAGTTATTGTCTGGAAACTGTAAAAATGCTTGTTTTTTTTTCCCTTTTTGGCCCCAAATTCCTAAACGTTTAGGGCAATTACCCCCAAACTCAAACCCAGCTTTCTCTTTGTGATATGGAACCTTGTAGTACAATTTCATAAAGATCCATACACTAATAAAATGCTTCGCTGGGCGCAGCTTGATACGACCGCAGAGGTCGAACCCTGAACAGTTGGGGCAAGTATGGACACAACATTCAAGCTTGATACAGCTCTGAATTTGGATTGTGATTAAATATTTGACACAGCATAGGTTTCTGACACAGAAAGAATGTGGTCTAAGAACTTCAATTTTTTTAATTTACCTATTATGGTCCAATGTCCAAAATCAAAATACATGGTTAGATTCAGCATATCAAAGAACCCCATATATTCAATTTTTGTTGAAATCAAACAAAGTTTAATTTTGGACCCCAACTTGGACAAACTTGAAAACTGGGCCCATTATCAAAAATCTAAACACATGTTTAGATTCAACATATCAAAGAACCCCAAGAATTCAATTTTTGTTAAAATCAAACTAAGTTTAATTTTGGACCCTTTGGACCTTAATGTAGACCAATTTAAAAAACGGGACCCAAAATTAAAAATCTAAATACACGGTTAAATTTGGCATATCAAAGAACCCCAATAATTCAATTTTTGATGAAATCAAACAAAGTTTAATTTTGGACCCTTTTGACCTCAATATGAACCAATTTGATAGCGGGGTCCACAAATAAAAAATCTAAATACATGGTTAGATTCAGCATATCAAAGAACCCCATATATTCAATTTTTGTTGAAATCAAACAAAGTTTAATTTTGGACCCCAATTTGGACCAACTTGAAAACTGGGCCAAAAATCAAAAATCTAAATACATGTTTAGATTCAGCATATCAAAGAACCCCATATATTCAATTTTTGTTAAAATCAAACAAATTTGAATTTTGGACCCTTTGGACCTTAATGTAGACCAATTTGAAAACTGGATCCAAAATTAAAAATCTAAATACATCGTTAGATTCGGCATAACAAATAAATAAATGTGGTCAAAGATTTTACAAATCTAATGTGCCATACTGTGCAATTAAAGATTACTTCTTGAAATTTTTCAATATTTGAAATTTGAAAAAAAAATAATATTTGAAGAATAATTCTTTTTAATTTCTGAAATCTGAAATGAGAAAAAATTGACCCCCCACAATTTCTTTTTACCCCCCCCCCCCCCTTTTTTTCCCCCAAAAAATTCTTTCCCTCAAGATATGGCCATAATCTCAATTCAAATTTCCAATGGAGTTGGCAACCATAATTACCCATTTAAATTTACCATAGTGCTAACTTAATCTATTTTATAATAGAATTAAAAATATAGTGTCAAATCTTTCATATGGATTTTTTTGTAAAAAAAAAAAAGATGCAACATTTGCAGATATTTTTACTGGTCTTCCTTTATAAATATGCATTTCTTTAAACATAATTTAAAAGCAGTGTAAGGGAAGTAACCAAAACGTTGTATTTGGATTACCTCCCTTACACTGTTTTAAATTATCTTTATTGTTCATTAACCTTACTTTATACATAATTTAAAAGCAGTGTAAGGGAGATAATTTCAATGATGTATTTGATTTATCTCCCTTACACTGCTTTAAATTATGTTTTGTACTAAAGTATTTGTCCATTAACCAGGACAATCTTGTTTTTCCCCCTTTTTTGCACCTAATTCCTGAACGGTTTGAGCCATAACCCCCCAAAGCAAATCCTAACCATCCTTGGTGGTATGGAAACTTGTAGTATAATTTCAGAGAGATCCATACACAGTTCCACAGTTATTGTCTGGAAACTAGAAAATGCTTATTTTTGGCCCCTTTTTGGCTCTAATTCCTTAACTGTTGGTACCATAACCCCCAAAATCAATCCCAACCTTCCTTTTGTGGTATTTAACCTTATGGTCAAATTTCAAAAAGATCCATTCACTTAAACTAAAGTTAGAGTGCGAAAACCAATGTGTCTTCCGACGAGGACGCCGGACGACGACGACGACGCCAACGTCATACCAATATACGACCACAAAATTTTTTTGCGGTCGTATAAAAATGCTTCTTTTTTGCCCCTAATTCCTAAAATTTTGAGGCAATTACCCCCAAAATCAATCCCAGTTTTCCCTTTGTTGTATGGTGCCTTGCAGTACAATTTCAGCGAGATCCAAACACTAGAACACAAGTTATTGTCTGGAAACTAGGAAAATGCTTATTTTTGGCCCCTTTTTGGCCCCTTATTCCTAAATGTTTTGGGCAAAAACCCCCAAACTCAATTCCAGCTTTCCCTTTGTGATATGGAACCTTGTAGTACAATTTCATAAAGATCCATACACTTACACACAAGTTATTGTCATGAAACTAGAAAAATGCTTGTTTTTTGCCCCTTTTTTGGCCCCTAATTCCTAAATTTTGAGGCAATTACCCCCAAAATCATTCCCAGCATTCCCTTTGTGATATGGAAACTTGTGGTACAATGTCAGAGAGAACCATACACTAACACACAAGTTATTGTCTGGAAGTTACAAAATGCTTATTTTTGGCCCCTAATTCCTTAACTGTTGGTACCATAATCTCCAAAAATCAATCCCAACTTTCCTTTTGTGGTATTGAACCTTATGGTAAAATTTCATAGAGATCCGTTCACTTAAACTAAAGTTATTGTGCGAAAAACCAATGTGTCTTCGGACGACGACACCGGACAACGACGATGCCAACGTCATACCAATATACGACCGCAAAATTTTTTTGCGGTCGTATACAAACTATTCAAAATAGCCTGATTTATGTCATTTTAGAAAAGAAAGGATATGGGGTATCCATCCATGACACAAATTCAGCATGTGCATAGCAAAAAACACAAAAAAAAACCAAAGGAACAGTGCTTCTTTTGCTGTTCTTCATCTCAAAGTCAGAGAGAGGCCTTCAACACCATACAAAAAACTCTCACCTCACTGCAAGTTTAAGGCGGCCCCTAGTACTGGTTTGAGGGGAATACTTTGTGTTCTTCAATGTTTTTTTCTTCCTTTTTTTGTTCAATTTTACAAAACACCTTTTCAGCAAATTGTGGTGCCTGTATTCAAAAATTCCTTTCAATGACATAAATCTTATTGTAAAGCAAGACATTTATCAGTTATTGCCAAGAGTTTTCTCAAAAACAAAAGTATCCCTTCTCCCCTCATCTGTCCTGTCTCTTCATTGAAGACTCAAAAGAAAACTAACATATAACTGAAACCTTCAGGTGTTTTAAACTAGAGGCTCTAAAGAGCCTGTGTCGCTCACCTAGGTCTGTGAGCATCTTCAACAATGGAATCTCTCCATCATAGTGGACTAGAAAAGAATTCATGACAATATATGGGGAATGTTTCCATGGGACACAGATGATGCCCCCGCTTGCATATCATATAAATTTATAAAAGGACATAACTGAAGAACGTTAAATGTGATGCTATCCAAATTTGTACTTGATCTGAGTTTCGTAGTAATAAGTATTATGTATAAGTTTCATAACATTTGGTTGAGGCAAACTTAAGTTAGAGAACGGAAACGAAAAATTCAGCATTTTTTCCATTTGTAAAGGGGCATAACTCTAGAACAGTAAAAGTGACACCACCAAAATTTAAACTTGATCTGTATTTTGAGGTAATAAGCATTGTGTATAAGTTTCATAACATTTGGTTGAGGCTAACTTCAGTTGGAGAAAGGAAACGAAAATAAAGGGCAATAACTTGAATAAGGAGTCATCTGACGATTACCACCATCCTGAACTTATTGGTAGATCTTGTCTTGCTGATCATTTTTGGAATAAAAAGTTTCTATCTATCTATTATAGTTTTGCAGATATAAGACAAAAACGCAAAAAAAGGGTAAAAATTTGTAAGGGTTCCGTGGAACCCAGTGCCTTGCCTACTTTTTCTGTTAATCGCAGGCTCAATAAAAATATTCCACTTGATACTATCTTTCGATTGTAAGAAGCTTCTGTCCAAGTTTGGTAAAAATCCAGGATAGTTTATGAATCTAATAAATGTTTAAAAACTTCAACTGCAGACTGAATGTAATGTTAACTGGAAGAAAACAAAATTTCCTTCTAGATACTAGCATTTGATCATAAACAAGCTTCTGTCCAAGTTTGGTACAAATCCAAAATAGTATAAGAAAGTTCTTAAAATTTTAAAACTTTAACCACAGAGAGAATGTGTTGTTTCCTGGCAGAAAATCCAAGTCCATTTAAAAGTAAAATACAGAAAAAATGGATTTATTTTTTTACAAAATTTCCTTCTAGATACTAGCTTTTGATCATAAACAAGCTTCTGTCCAAGTTTGGTACAAATCCAAAATAGTATAAGAAAGTTATTAAAATTTTACAAACTTTAAGCACAGAGTGAATGTGTTGTTTCCTGGCAGAAAATCTAAGTCCATTTAAAAATAAAATAAGGAAAAAATGGATTTATTTTTTTTTCAAAATTTACTTCTGGATACTATCTTATGATCATAAACAAGCTTCTGTCCGTTTGGTACAAACCCAGGATAGTTTAAGAAAGTAATTAAAATTTTAAAAACTTTAACCACTGAGTGAATATTTGTGGACGCTGCCGCCGCCGACGACACCAACGGAATGTAGGATCGCTATGTCTCGCTTTGTTGACTAAAGTCGAAGGCTCGACAAAAATCATTATAAACGGGCAATAACTCAAATGAGGGGTAGTCACACAATTTCAAGAGTACTAACTGATTTGAAGATCTTGTCTTGCTGGTCTTTTTTTGCTAATTTAT